CATGCCCATGCCCATGCCCTCCCTGGTCGGTGGTTTCATCAATGGGTCTATTAGCTCTCATTAAACCATCCATATCTACTTCTTATTAAGTTGTCAATTTTTTTTTTATTTACATGTGATTTTGGATAGCAAAAAGCGAGACTCCTTTGGCATTTCATGAATCTCATTCTGTCCGTCCTAAAGTTGACTTTTAAGTTAGAATCTTAAATTATAATCACTTGGCCTCGGTGCTGCATTCGTGACAGATTGATAATTATTGATTGCAACTAACTTGATGGTAGTTGTTCACGTACGACCGGATCCAAACTCCTGCATGAACCAGAGCCTGAATTTCAGCCCATACGCTTGATTGCGCCTTCCATGTGACTCAAATGCGAGAAAATTTCTTCTTATATTTTACTGTTTGTTCTCTTTTCCCTCTTCCTCTCCTTTGGGTGTACTAGATTACAGGCTAACGCTTGCTAGTATCCACGCCAGTTCATGTTCAAAAATAAAAATACTTATAACCAAACATAGTGGCGAAGACATTGAATATAAGAATGATGAGATGTTCCCCAAGTAGTAATTCCCAAACCATGTGCAAATAATTCTTTAGAAAAAAAGAAGAAGAAAAGGCATGGCATATTGTATCTGAATATTGAACGCGTTCCATGCCAAGATGCCTAAACTTTGCACAATATTAAACAATTACAAGTCAACCTTGCCTTATTTATTAAAAGAGAAATAGTACTACTCTTTCATTTTTTTCAAATCTCTAATTAACAAAATTCATCTCATATAAATGTACTTGCAGTGAAACTTAATTTGAGTATCAGTAAACACGTGTACCTTTTTACTTAAACAATCATTTTGATTTTTTTAAATAAAAAAATAAATGTTAAACTAATAATATATATTTTTTGACTATCGTTTCTGGAGGATAGGAGGGCCCTGATGATGAGCGACGTGATAAAATTTTTTAATTATCAAATGAGAGATAATTCTCTTCTATGCAATAAATCTCACTTTATTTATTTCAAACTTTAAATTCGAAATAAAATTTGGGGTCTTGTCTGCTGTAACAATGTCTTGTCCAGTGATGCTTTTGGACATAAAGGATATGTTGTAAGAATATTTAATTGAAAGGCATGTCAGATAAAAGGCTTTTTTTTTTTGTGAGATTAACTAAAAATTAAGGATGGAGATCAAAGGCATTTAATTAAAGTTGCCATATACTTCCTTTATATGTTTGGGACAGGGAGAACGCGTGGGACGGGCAGAGTCATGAAATGGTCGGCAAGACATGTGGACCCGCGAATAGCCGTTAAGATGGATTTCAACCTCAACGGCTTTTTAAAAATCCAAGGCTTTGAACAAAGTTTGCGGGAAAAGAAATACATGGAAACCAGGTCCCACATTGGCAATCATTAATCACCCATAATTAAAATTGAGTTAATCTTGGAAATATCAAGCATTTCCAGGGTTTACTCTTTACGTTTTAATTCTCCAAAGCAGTTTCCAATACCTGCCTCTCTCTCTCTCTCTCTTCTTTATCAAGATTGCCTTGCCAAAATCGTTTTCAGTAAATTGTCTTTTTACCAGACACGGTTGAACTTGACTTTGCTTTGTTAAAATGCAAAGCAAAGCAAAAGCCAATCCGTGTCTGTAATAAGTCTTACCATACCCAACAGATTTCAGGATTTCCCAGGTTTCATTTTGATAGGAAAAACAAAAACAAAAAAAATGGAAAAGAATTCTTTTGCTTTGATTGAGAATTGAAACTGGGTTTTGTTTTGAGTTTCTATCCTCTTGGTTTTTGGGGGGCTAGAGTGATTGATATTTTGGATTCCTTGAACCGAGAAAGGTTCAGCCTGATAAAAACATTGGTATACTGATTGAGGGCTGTTATTGAGAATAGGGTTTGATCATCTTCTTCGTCAATCAGGGGCCCTGTTCTGAAGATTGAACTTGTTTCTTTCTGGAAAACTACCAGGTACATTTTTTTCTCTTCTAGAGTTTGGATGGTTTTTGGAATTTAGTTTCTCTTTTGGTTTTTGAATCTTGTCAGTATAATGTAATGCGTATACAGTTATTTTTTCCCGGAAATATGTTGGATGTTTTATTTTTTTTACTCAAATCCTATTTATGTTTGTTTAGAATTAATTTGAAAAAATTATTTGGTAATTAATCTTTTACTTAGTGGTTAAGTTTAGAACTTCTTTTTATTGAAAAAATATGGGCTAAGGTTGAGCGTGCTTGTTTTAGAGAGTTGGAATGTGCCTTTAGAGATTGTGAGAGAGCTCTTGGATTTTACTGGTTTTTGGGCATGTGAGATTGTGAGAAATATAAGAGAAGATTTTGGCGATTGTAATCTTCAAAGTTTGTTACAGTGAAAGTCGTGGAATTTTTCCAGAAAGAAAATATCTGTATGTTTTTGTGTTTGGTTATTTGCTTCCTCTAGCTTGATTGGTTAGTTGTCATAACTGTATATTTTATTGAAATGTATGTGTTTGAGCAATGGAACAGTTATTTAGTTTATATGGTTTTAGATCCTTCTATTTCATAACTTGGTCCTGATGTTTAGTTTGTTATTTCGGGTGCCTTTCACATGAATATGAAAAGGAGAAATGATAAACTTCTGGGTGATTGATGTTGGGAGAAATTTGGTCTGTTTGTCTTTCAGAAGTCAGAACCAAGTCTGCTTGGCATTGTATCAAGCCTAATTAATGTGCCATGGCTGGTAGTAGCGCAACTTTGCCTAGTCAGGAAACAGATATCACAGCTTTAAAAGAAATGCTTCTCACTCAACAGCAACTTCTGCAGAAGCTTTATGCTGAGTTGGATGTGGAAAGAGAAGCCTCTGCTACTGCTACTAACGAAGCTTTGTCTATGATACTGCGTTTGCAAGGAGAAAAGGCATCAGTGAAGATGGAAGCAAGTCAATACAAGAGATTGGCAGAAGAAAAGATTGGCCACGCAGAGGAGTCTCTTGCAATTTTCGAAGATCTCATGTACCAGAAAGAAATGGAAATTTCTTCTCTTGAATACCAAATTCAGGCGTATAAGTACAAACTTCTAAGCATGGGTTGTGATGATTTGGATGATACTGAAAAACAGTTTCCAGAGAATCCATTTTCAGAAAGAAATGATGCATTTCTTGGAGGAAAGGGCGTCCAAGCCACTGTGAGAAGACTCAGCTCTCTACCAGCTACTTTACCTATTGATTTCTATCAAAAGAAGAGTACTATTGATGGAGAAAGATATACAATTCCAGTTGCAGATTTGTCTTCAAGCATAGATGTGGAAAATTTTGACCAGGTAGTTCATGATAAAAGCTCGGATTCAAAGAGGAGTTCCTTAAACTCAGCAGCTGGTGACTACAATTCTTACTGGGAACAGATCAGAATGCTAGATGAAAAGGTGAAAGAGATTTCAGATTGTAAAGAAGTTGGTCAAAATAACTTTACAAATGTAAAGGTTGAATCAGTGTCTGGAAGTACCAGCTCATCCTCTGATCCATCAAGAGCAAAAATTCCCCCTAAATGTCACAAAATAAAAAGAAACGAAGATTCATTAGAAAGAGAAGCCATTCCAAGTTCTGCCTGTTCCTCTAATACTGCTCATGATATATTTGAAGTTCCAGAAACCAGTGAGAGAAACAAAACTTGCTTTAATGGGGAAAAGAGTCAAGGTAAGTCAGTTTTGGAAGGAGATAATAGGCTTAAGAAGCCAGATTTGATCCTGGAAGAACCTTTTATATCACCTGCAGAAGATGAAATTAACTGGATAGAGAAGAATAACTTTCTAAGTGCAAAGCCTGAGAAAAAATCAAGTAAACTGAGAGGTGAGATGAATGCTGACTGCATATCGCCTGCTCAATATGAAACTGAATGGGTGAAGAAGAATAACTTGCCAGGTGCAAACCATGAGAAAAAATTATGTAAACTGAGAGATCAGACGAATGCTGACTGCAAATCAGCTCTTCTTCACCCAGCCACTGGTGTTACTGATTATCGATCTGAGTTGCAACAGCTTACTCAGAGAGTAGAGCAGCTTGAGAGTGGGAGAAACAATACAAGGCATGAAATTAGTGAAGGAAGGGAAGAGGAACTGAATATGTTGAGGGAGCTACGACAGCAGCTTAATTCAATACAATCTGAGATGAGAAATTGGAGACCCAAGAAATCCACTCCTTCGGATGAGGTCACTCTGCTTTCTCTCCAAGAGGTATGCCTTTTTCTTTTTGTTTTCTCTTTCTTATTATTATCCTTTTTTCACTCTCTTGCATGCACATTGGTTCTATTCCCTTGATCTTCTTGCAAATATTAATGGCCATAGGTAACAAAGGCTTACTAAATCGCACTTGAGCATTTTGTTCAGTAGTTTATCTATGAACTCCCTGCTTTGAGCAGGATTCAAAACCTTGTCCCAAGTAAAAAAAAAAAAAAAAGCCTTGCTCAGTGTTTTCTGCATTCTGGATTTCATTATGTTTATATTCCTTTCTTGAAAGCTTGAAAATAATGTGACTGATCTATCTGGACAGGCAATGCTGCACTTTTGGCTGTAATCAAGCAATTAATGCGGAATCAACTCAGACAAGCACCAGTGATGTGAAGACATATCATGGGCTAAAAGACTGCTCTGCACATATAATGTATATAATGGTATCTTTTGATTTTCTAGTGGGTGCTGCGAGAAAATAGATAGTTCTTTTATTGGGCTTGTTTTGCATATAAAATGAATATGATGCAAAAATTGGATAACATGCATCCATCAGGAAAAGAAAAAAGTGTATATCTTCAGAATTTGGGGGTTTTTGTTTGAGCTCTTTCATGTATGATTTCCTCCTGAAAGTGAGTTGGTTTTGCAAAGCTGAGTAGCTAATTCATATATGCACATGAATTCTTCTTTCTGTACTTCAAAGGACTTCTTAATTCAAAATATGGTATTACATGGGAAACTAAAGCTGCAAGAAGCCACTTAAGTGCCTGCAACGTAGAACACTGCAATGATCATTTTCTAATACAGTTTTAGCTATGTACACTAACCAAACTGCAGTTAAGTCCTGAATTTCTGAGATTACACATATTAAGATTTTTGGATTAATAATTCGAGGTGGGCTTCATACAGCAGGAATCCTGATGGGCCGTGAACAGAAACCATGCAATAATGACCATGGGAATATAAAGTCCATATCCATATTGAAGATATTTGGCATTAGTGCATTCTTGTCCCAGCTGAACAATATATGTGCATGATTTTTTGGGTTAAGACTGCATCTATAGTTATTGAAGCAATTTTTATGTACTCTTAACTTTTAATTCTTTGAAATGATTTTGCATTCTCATTCCTAGTTCAGTATTAACATCTTGCAACTTCACTACTAACAGAAAACTGAACTGTTGTAAAGAAATCGTTTTATACTTCATAGAGAACACCTATTTACTTTTGTCCATCAGAACGTTTTACTTAACTATTTTATTATGTCATATAGGACTGGATTTTAAATGTACATCTTTAAAGGTTTCTTTCTCAAACCTGAAGAACTTTTAATATATTTCTCGTCATGCAATTTGTAGCAAATTATCTTTAAGTCCCATGCTGAAAGTACACCAATGGATTTCCAATGTACCTTCATTTGATTTCCTGTGAGCAAGAGAGGACTTTTCTGATGCCTTCTGCCATTCTTCTTCCACAGAGGATTCAAAATAACAGTTAGCCTTCTGACATGTGACAGATTTGCTGATTATAACCAATTGGATTTTGTCTCAATTATTGCAGGCCATTATTTTTCTAGACCACATGGATAGATCCAACCTCTGAAGGAACCAAAGTGGTTTTCTGCAACTATGCAGCATGGCTGGAAAACTGTGGAATTCTTACTTGACAAATATTATGATACCTACTCTGCAGCCCTTATCCAATGAAAGGGTTTCTCTAAATATTATTCGGATTTGGTGATGTGAGCAACGAAGTTATACGTGTGAAGCAATTAGCATGGCTGAAAGAATATCTTCATATTCTCAAAGTCATACGTGAGAGCACCAGTCTGGGTTGAACTGATTTAAGTTGAGAATTCATAAATATGTCAAGTGCCCGAAACTCTTCTTCCCACTTTTAGAAAAGACCAAGATAGTGAAATTTACCAGCCAGCATTTTCCAGAGGTAGCATGAGTTTTGCCACTCAAATGGTTCACTTCTTTGCTGGTTTGCTGAAGCCAAAAACTGTCTGATAATGACTTGAAAACCTTTACACTGCACCCATCTGCTTGGCTGGAGAATCAAACCATTATTAAAATATATCATCGTGATCCATGTCTTTGTCATTTGATGGTTCAAACTGATATTGGTAACCCTCGTTTAAGAAACTAGATCACTTTCCAAATTTCTTTCTTTGTATCACTGGTTTTATGTCAGAGATGAGAACGTAAAATGAATCAGAGACTGTCGATACTGCCTAGGAGAATAATATATGGCTAATAACATGATTCCCATCCACTGTGTAGTTAGCAATTGTTATTAACATCAGCAGAGAGCTAAAGAGAAACACAATTCACTGGGTCTTGCCACACATCCTTTACTCTAGAAGAATCCCCATCTCCTGAAAAATATGACGGAGTAGCTCAGAGATAAACACAATTTTTTTATTGCATTCTTTTTTCTATTGTAAATGGTAATGTCTAAGAACCTACATGAGGAACGCACTAATTTATCCAGTCTGTAACATGTTTTACTGACAAACTGCAGTACTTGTGTTTTTCGTGTTTCCTTTTATCACTCAAGTCTTCTGTCCCGTTAGATGCATTGATAGACTTTCAGTAGCATTGCTCGTGGAGGTCTCTGTCTAGTGGCATTTGGTCATACTCCCCCCCCCCCCCCCCCCCCCCCCCCTCCTTTTCTTTTTTTTAGTTTTTTAAAGCATGAGTGTGCAGTTTGCTTCCTTTCCCACAAGTGGAATCAGCACTATGTGCGTGTTCCTTAAAAGAATTTCAGCCTACTTTGGCTCCTTATAATATCTGGCTGTTAGTATTCAATCAATAATCATTTTTCCCAAGAATTTATAAATGTGCATGCTCACTGAAATTTAACTAATCGATTATAGGCTCTGGACTGGTGCTTATCCTCTTCTACAACAGAGGAAATTTTCAATTTCTTGTGGACAAAATTATTCATCAGATTTCTTTTCTTTCTTTCCTTTTTTCTTTTTTTCTGATGACCATCTCAAAAGTTATAGTTTGAACATCGTAGCCTTTCAGCCTTTCTGTTTAGAATGGTCAGCTCTATGTAATATCTTCCCCAAAGTAGTTGGCTGGGGGTAGAGAAGTTTAACAATATCATCGCCTGTGAGGGACCTTTCATAGGGGCAAGATTACATTGAACAGCCACACCCAACCCCCTCACAATCGTCACCATCACATAGAGCCTAATGGGAGGGACATGAACTGGTACTATAAATGAAGGGGATACCAAGAAGTAAAAAACTTATCTACTTAGTTTGCGTTTCTACTAAAATACTTGACAGCCAACACCCCCTCTCCCCCCCACGCCCAAAGTAGCTACTAAATGTCTACAATATTTATGCAATAAACAACAATAGCAACTTGGTCTATTTAGTTTGCATTTCTGAAGTATTTGGCTATGATGAGGTTTTGCGCTTGATGCTGATTTCACCCTCGGGCACTTTTCCAAGTTTCCATTGAGTTAATTAGTTGGAAAATGACACCATTACATATCATCAGAAAGAATGCTTGTCCGCGTTGTGGTTAAGGAATGGTGCAAGGGAATGAAATGCTTCCTTTTTCTCGAACATGCCAATATCAACTGACATGGCATGGATTCTGGTAAGATTAGCTATGCGATTGAGTTGCCAGAGCCACCAGTTGGCATCAACTTAAAAAGATTAAAATATGGAACCCCTAGAAGAATATACTACATCTGTTATGATTAATCGGAGTGTTACTGTTACCAAATAGGAAGCTGACATCTGCTTTTAACTATCCAATACATTGTATGGAAGAGAAATAATCTCTTCCGAAGTTAAGGCATGCATTCTCACTTCAGATTTTTTTGGTAGGGGTGGCAGGGTAATTTTTCTCGTAAATGTGTTGACACTGTGGTAGTGGTGCAAAAGGCCATGTGGAGTGGCCTGCTTGTAATTCTTCTAACTAAAATTCCATTATTTGTTTTATGATTGTACATTAATCAAACAAAAAGGAAGGGGGGGAGGGGGGCAGAAGAGTTAGTATTGGTAGGTTATGGCAGTGAGAGGAAATTATTTGAGAAGGAAAAAGGTGGAGACGAATTGGTTGTGAGGTTAAATCGGTGGATAACTAGTTAGCCATTCAGGAGGTCCATAGCAGCAGGTTGGTGAAATGTGTTTTTCAAAGCAAGGAAAACACAATTAGATATATAATTTAAGATAAACAGCAGATGTTGCATTTCTGATATAAAAGTCATATTGCCACTAAACCTATTTCTAAGCTGGTCTCATATTCATAGCCTGGTGGCTTCCCAACTTGACTTGGATATTGATTTGCATATCACCTATTAATTATTTTTCTAATCCCCGGTTTCCTATCCTTTGCCCCAGACAATTTGGCCTACTGCAATAAGCAGTTGTTTTATGACTTTCTCTTGATGCTAGTGCAAGGCTGTGAATGACAATATTGAATTGTTTAAGGTGGATTTTTATGATTATATTGGAGTGGGATTAAAATATGGTTATAGCCATCCACTAGCATCTAGTTGTTTTAGGCAAATTCTATATCAATGGTAGGTTAAAAGAGACCTGAGTACTGCAATATCTATTTTGGAAATCCATCCACATTGCTTGCCACAAAAACAAGGCTAATGTTTAAAGGGAAGATTAGTTTAATATAATTGGATGACGAATGATTCATACTACACACTCCTGATTACATATCCCATTTATCTGATAGATATCATTAACAAAGTACAAAGGTCATCTTTGGTTGGTTGATGATTTAGAAAATGAATTAAGTAAAACAAATGGAATGCTTTTTTCTTGACGAAGGAGCTTTTTGGGCGGTGAAAGGGGAAAGCCCTTTATACTTGACATACTCATCTGCTGCTCACTTAACCTCTACTGGGAAAACGTTTTGCACAAGTCTTAGCTAGAATTGACATAATGACATTAGAGTAGCGAAATCATTAACTATGGTACCCTTGAGACAGTTGATATTAATTTTTAGAATAATTTTACCGAGGAAAGGAAATAATTAAGTAAAAAAATCAAACAAATGAATACAATCTTGAAAACTCATCATTCTATGATCAGAAAGCATCAGCCTTAGAAGAGGCCTCTCCGGTCAACATCGAGGCAGGATTAGCCAGATACTGCTTTAGCCGCCCCATCTCCTGGGCTACATCTAGCATGGTTGGTCTCGTTGAGGGATTGTACTGTGTACACATAAGGCCAAGTTCAATCAGTTCCAAAATTACATCACGCCACATTTCGTCATAATTTGTTGGCACTGCAGCAGGCCTGCACCTGATCAATGCTTGCTCTACTATGGCTTCAAGCTTATGGGGATAGTGACTTTTTACCCATTCATGCAAGCTTGTACCTTCATGGTCAGTAGGTCGCATTCCTGAAACAATTTCCAACAAAAGGACCCCAAAACTGTATACATCCCCTTGAGTGGAGGCGCGTTTGCCCATTCCATATTCTGCTTTCAATCAAGTGAGAGAGAAATAACAGTGAATATATATATTAGGTAATGATCAGATGACTTAATTTTATGATTTGATTAGATTGTACTATATCATTTTTCTTATATATACTAAGATTTATTCACCTAAATTTTAGGATAATGACCTAGCCATTCAAAGTGGTGCAGCCTAATGTGGTCACTAATGAGATCTTCAACGATAACCTACAACTAGAATGAGTAAAAAACTGACTTTAAAATGAAAAACAAGGTTCTCAAAACTATTGATTCAAAACAGAATTTAATTAGATAAATGAATTGCCTGAGATTTGAGGATGTGTCCAGTGCAATAGCATTGATAAAATTGATGACTGTATCATTGTTCTTATTAACTTAACATTCTATATGGACTCTGAAGTACTAAGGAAAGAGTAGATTTATGTTATTCCTATATGAAACAATTATAATTACAATAAAAAATAAAGCAATACATAAGAAGAAGATACATACCAGGAGCTATATAGCCGACAGATCCACATAGCAAGCCATCTGCTGAGCTATAGGAGATTGGATCATTTGCAGAAATACTCTCATCGGCACCTTTGACCAATCTTGCAATTCCAAAATCAGTCACCAAAGCAGTCATGTCTTCGTCAAGAAGAATATTGCTTGGTTTAAGATCACAGTGCACAACTTTAACTGGAGAGTGATGGTGCAGATAAGCAACCCCCTCAGCAACATCACTACAGATGTTCACCAACTGAATCAAATCTAAGCCATAACTTAATCCGTGGCTTGGGTATAGATGCCTCTCTAGGCTCCCATTTGGCATCAGAGGAAGGACAAGAGCCTTGAAATCTGGCTTGCTGCAAATTGTTATGATCCTAATCAAATTTCTGTGCCTGGTTCTCTTTAGAACTTCACATTCTCTCTTAAAACTCCCTGAAATTTCTCCAGCTGTCTTTGTATCCAAAACCTTCACAGCTATTCTTGTATTGTCCCCAAGAGTTCCTTTATATACATGACCAAACCGGCCTGAACCAATTAAGCTTGAAGCACTGAACCCACCAGTGGCTTCAATAAGTTGTCGATATGAGATCCTTGGGTACTTGAGCTCTGTCTTTTCTTTTTCCTCATCTTCGAAGTCCCCTCCATTGAATACTGGCAGTCGACTTCTGAACTTTGACTTGAGCACCAGAGGATATCCAAACATAAACAACAAAGGAATTGCAAGCAATGACATGATGATTGGCAAAAATATAACCAAATGAGAAGGATGTTTCCTTCGGCATTTTGGCATGCCTTTTATCGAACCACAAAGACCATCATTTCCCAGGAAAGAGTCTAAAGTCAGCAATGAAAATGCTCCCTTGCCTGATATATTCCCGTGGAACTTGTTAAAAGAGAAGTTCATTTCCTTGAGAGTTGATGATGCCTGAAAAGTTAGTGGTATGTCTCCGGTTAACTGGTTTAAAGCTACATCTAGTTCTTTAAGGTAAGGCAACTGTCCTATAAAAGCTGGAAGTTCACCTTCTAAGAGATTACCAGAAAGGTTGAGGTACTCGAGGGCAATGCAGCTCCCAAGCTGCGATGGGATTGTACCTGAGAGGTTATTAGAAGACAGATCAATTGCTAACACCATATCCATTTTACTCAGCTCTAGTGGTAAAGGTCCTTGAAGGTGATTGCTAGACAAATTCAGGTATAACTTCAAGCTCCTCAATCCGGCAACTTCACCAGGGATTATCCCCAAAAGTTTATTATGAGAAAGGTCTAAAATCTCCAAGTTGACACATTTTCCTAGACTTGGAGGAATTTTCCCTGAAAGCTGATTTCCAAAAAGCAGGAGTCTTCTTAGCTGGGAGAGGTTGGCAAAACTGTCAGGAATTGAACCTGAAAGCTTGTTCTTTGATAAATCTAACAGACCTAAATGCGTGATATTTCCTAGAGCTGCTGGAATCTCACCGGAGAGTGAATTATTTGACAGATAAACTCTCTCTAGTTTTTCCATTCTGCATAGTTCAGGTGGGATGGTTCCATTCAAAAGGTTGCTAGACAAGTTCAAGAGGGTAAGATTCACAAGGTTTGAAATGCGAGGAGGAATCGAACCGTATATGAGATTATCATCTAGATGAATTTGCACAAGATTGGTTGAAAGATAACCAATAATAGGAGGTATCTCCCCACCAAGATTATTTCCGGCTAATTCTAGTTCTTGGAAGTTAGAGGAATTGAGTAAAGAAGCAAAAAACGGTTCAAGGTTAGTGTTACCATCATGGCTAACAAACTCATTATAGGACAAATAGAGGAACTGCAACTGCGGCATTTGACGTACCATGTCCGATGGCAACTCCCCATTTAACATGTTTGACTCCAAATCAAGCCATTGAAGCCTTGAGGAGTTTGAAAGGGCTTGAGGCACCGGACCAACTAGTCTATTCGACCAGAGTAACAAAAACCTCAACTCCCGAAGTACACATTCATTCTTCAAAGGGATTCGACCACTAAGAGAATTGTTAGAAAGATCAATATATTGCAAAGAATACGATCCATTGCAGAAAAGAGGAGCTGGAATATCTCCCACAAGCCCATTATTCGCTAAATCAAGATATACTAATTGGTGAAGAAAACCCAACTCTGAAGGAATGCTTCCTTCAAGAAGATTCCATGATAGACTAAGTTGTTTGAGCTGAACAAGGGAACCTAGCTCTGCTGGAATATGACCTTCAAAGAAGTTCTTTGACAAATCAAGAACCAACAAAGAAGAAAGATTAGCAAGAGCGGGAGAAATAGTGCCCTTAAGTGACCTTCCACTCAGGTCAAGCTGCACAACTTGATCTCTAGCTTGGTTGCACTGGACTCCTGTCCAGTTGCACACATGCACACTTGAATTCCAATCTTCCAGAGCAGGTTCAGGGTCTAAAACAATGCCTGACATGAATAAAAGCAACGAAACTCGATCCTTCCCAATTCTAGCATTCTCTTCCGCGGTAGCTACAAAGAGAATGCTGATCAGGAACAGAACACTAAACTTGGAAAATTTGCAAAACCCCATTCGCTCTTTTTAGTGAAACAAAGAGAGCATTTGACATACAAAAAGTGCTTGTTTGCACCACCAAGTTTTTAGTAAGATGGAAGCTGTAGCGTTGAGACGTGTGCAATATATACAAAAACGGAAAAAGGGTGGTTAGAAAATTTGATGGCTGTGCCTAACTGCCGTTGAGGGAGGGAACGTACGTTTGGCGCCTATGATCTTTGACTATGAACTCGACCAATCTGAGGTCAACAAGTGTGGACAGGTGCTATGACACGTCAGCAGCGTTACGAGCCGTGTAACAAAGGTTGTATACATGTCAGCAATAGGCCTAACACTTTTGGCCAATGTTGTTTTGCTTGTGAGTTTGGGACAAATTAGTGGATGATGCGTTGTTAAGGAAAATAAAAAGGCTTTGAAAAACAACCTTAAAGATAAAAGATCATTTTAAAAATAACTTTATTTATAATTTTAATTATTTTTAATTAAATTAGATAAAATTACTCTTAATAATGTTACACGTCATTAGACGATATTATACACCATATATAAAACTATATTACACTTTATGATTAAAAAAATTATTACAAGTCATGTTAAAAAAATATTATTATTACACGTTATGGTTAAAAAGATTGCTACAAGTCATATTGAAAAAAAATATTATTATTACACATTATATACAAAAATATGTTACACACCATAATTAAAAAAAGTTTTTACATACTATTTAAAAAAGTAATAATGTTGTTACACGTCAGGTACAAAAATATGTTATATATCATGGTTAAAAAAAAAGTTGTTGCATGTCATGTTGCAAACAAATATTATTGTTACACGTCATATTCAAAAACATATTATACGTCATGTTAAAAAAATATTATTATTACACGTCATATTAAAAAAAATTTTGTTACGATTTATTACTCAAAATGTTTTTATTACTTACAAACCAAAACTTCAAATCCTCTCAACTCTATTCATTTTTTTGTTTTCTTTTATTGATAGTTTGGCACCGATTAAAGTGTTTATAATATGTTTCATAAATCAAAACACAATTTTTTTTATCTAAAATACCTATTTGGATTAAAAATTAAAAAAGTTCCCTTGAAACCTTAGGTTTATAAATTTCAATTTCTTGAATTTATTTATATCTAAATACCAAATTGATTCAATTAAAAACTATTTCAAACATTTATGATTATTTTTATTATTTAGTTTCATCCAAAATACTTAAAAATCAAAATTTCTAAATAGCCACTTACCCCCAAGCACATCAAATTATTGCTTGGCGTCTTGAAAGCGCAAAAGAGAGAAATTAGGAATATAGTAGATGAATCTCGAAAAGAGAAATTGATAAAATTAAAGAAAGTTAAATGGTGCGAGAAAGAAATCGAAAGTACAAATAAAAAGAAATTAGGAATATAGTAGATGAATGTCGAAAAGAGAAATTGATAAAATTAAAGAAAGTTGAATGGTGCGAGAGAGAAATCGAAAGCACAAATAAAAAAAAATTGTAGTTAATGGTTTAATTTATTTGAAATAATTTTAAAAATATTTTTATTAAGTTTTAATTAAATATGATTAAAAATAATTAAATTTATTTTAATAATTATTTTTAAATACTCCATTATTTATCATATTTTCTTCTTATTTATTATAGCGGCATGCTTTTGAAAGGTGATGCTGGCAAGTGGGTTTGTTGTCGTTCTTCATATATTTTTTTGGTATATTTTTCGGCTGAGAGTGAGATGTGGACAGCCTAAGGGAAATCTCGGCGTAAAGTAAATGGGCAGATACAGAGATTAATTGAATGATTTTAATTTATTGGGTAAAACTGCACTGAAAGGGTTTCAAGGATAGCTAGCTAGCCAGCACACCATGCAAACGCAACCAACCTTCCCTGGAAAAACTTGTTACTACGTGTTACCTTATCTGTGAATATAGATGCCTCCTACGTGTTGCATGTAAACTATCTGAAATTGGTTGAGGGCGAGTGCGTCAAACTGTTGGTCAGCTAGATGACAATTAGTTTTTGCTTTGTATAACTTTCTACGCCGCTTCATTTGTATGAATATACCATTGAATTCAACAAGTATACAACACTAATATATTAACACATGGGAGCAAAGCATGGATCTTGAACTCACTTTTGGTCAGAGTAACCACTAAAAGTTCTAAAGTTTAACTAGCAAAGATGAATTACTTAGCCTGATTTTCAAATCTAAGTCATGAAAGCAAGAAAAGCATATATTTTGAAGAACTTTTTGACACTTTCAATAAAGTTCTCAAGTGTTTTTTCTAAGGATCCCAATGGGGCAGCTGCCTCCATTATCCTTCCCATCTTGGATCCACTTGCTGCATTACACCACCATTTTAGTCCTGCCAATATCTCCATCTCTTCTCTATACATATTAAAATATATGAAGTCAATTGCTACAAAGTACATGAAGGGTTGTGGTTCTTGAGTCTTTCTTACTTTAGAGCTAGCTAGCTGGTTCCATTGACCCAAGAAAAGATAATGAAAGAAAAACTCGAAAACGCAGGCAGAAATTCGTGTGAAATGCGTCTTGGCTTTTGACTCTCAAACAACTAAAACAATGCAAAAGGCAACGCCTGAAGCTTAATATGACAAGAGCAAATCCAAATTTTGGCAAAGTTCAACTATTCTATCTAATTTTTCAATAAAAAAAAGCTCAACTAGGATTCAAGAGTCACGACTCTTGACATATGAGTCATTATTACAACATAACTAAGGCCAAATTGCCCGTAAATTTTATGGCAAAAGCGGCTCACAAGATGCAAGTAGGAAAGCTTTAATTTGGTCGTCGATGTTGTCTACCATCATGCCCGTAATGAAGTATACATTACAAATTATAAGGTGCATGCTGCAAAGGGTTCACATATAAGAGTGGCTGAGTGGGTATACATTCATTACCTCTAGGGTTCTGGCAGGCAGCTGAATTTTGGGTGGTTTAATTAGTTTAGCTTGCTACTTTCCTTGGAAGCAACTCTCTCACATTGTCAATTGTGCATAGAGAAAGAAAAGATATCATTATTGATTGTCTTGTCTGAGTTATTTGTCTCATTTGATATGACAAAAACTTATTATGCTTACGTATTTGTAATATATTTATGAATTATTAACCTATCATAAATTGATAAATCCCATCCTTACATATTTTTATAATAAATTTTTGTCACATCAAATGGTGATGGGATAAAAAAGGTTGAACGAAAATGTTTAGACAAGCAGTCGTGCATAATTTGCTAACAAATTATTATGATCTAAATTAATAATTCGAAGAATTCCAATTTGATAATTATGAGGAGAAGTATTATATAAATAAATAAAATAGTGATTTCTGATTGGGCTTAGCTAAACCCAAGCCTATTCAAATTGGGCTAGGCTGGTCAAAACCTTCCATTCCACCGTTTGGACTCTATTTATTTTGTCTCTGCCCTAGTGAAGCCCAATATTAGGCCTGCCTCTCATGGTTCACACTTCTCTATGTAATAACACTGATTTTTTAAAAGGAGTTTATTAATTTATGGTTGGTGCATGAATGATATAATTATTGTTTTATTAACCGTTAGGATTGATTCTTTTTTTCAAATAAAATCTTTCAACTTTATCCCTTTTTTTTTTCTAAAAAAATTTTAACGAATATAAAATATTTTATGAATTAATAAAAAAAAGTTTAAAATGATCAACCTAAAATATTGTACACTTGAAAATGATATAAAATATTTTTCATTTACCTTTTTTCTTTCTCTTGAATCGATTTCGTGAGATTGATCTCATTTGAAAAATATTACCTTATCTTTTTTGTGCGATCCATCCCCCAAATAATAAAACAATAAAAGTATTATTATTTTTCTTTTTTCTCTCTTTATTTATTATTATTATTTAATAAAATATTAATGATTATTTTTATTCAACTATTTCATAGGGATCAAATCATTATAATTATCTTTATTGTGGTACTGCAATCTTTAATATAATACAAGATACTTAAGATTAGCTAAAGAAAAAAAAAATAAAAAATAGAAAATAAGTTTTTTCATGTATGAAAATCTTTTTCATTTTAATTTTCAATTTATGATTTATTCACTTAACATATTAATCAGTATAATAATATTATTAATATTATTTATATATAATATTTTTAATATTGAAAAGAAATATTTTGGATGTCTTGCTTAATTGATACAAATGTTAATATTTTTATAGGTGTTATGATTGGAAATTATTGAACATGAAAATTTTTGACTAATCAACTATAATAAAAAATATTTTTTACAAGAGGATTCAAATAATAAAAAATTATTTTTAAAATTTATAAAAATAATAAAAAATATTAAATTTTTTTATAAAATATTCTACACAAATATTATTATTCGATTATCTAAATGTATTCTTATAATTTACTTGGTTTTCATGGGTTAACAATTTTTCTGATCCAAAAAATCCAGAAAGAAAAATGATTTTGAATATTAAATGCCTTCTCAAACCAATAAGATATAATTTTCTCAAAAAAAATAAAAAAAAGAAGAGAGAAAATCACAAAATGACAGTAGTGTGTACTTTATTTCAATAGAGCTGCTGCGAAGTGATCAAGTCCCAATCCCAATCTTTTTATCCTTGCTCCTTCACCCAGACGACAATGAAAAATAAAAGTAATTTTTCATTTAACTTTTGTCTTTGATATTGACGATAGAAAAATATCCTTCAAAATGCGAGTACGTGAGAGGTTTAAGGGAGGTTTCCTTTCTTCATTCTTCAGCCCCTTATCTCCCCCGCCCCAAAAATGGCTTCCACAGCCTCACTCTCTCTAACTCAAACACCTCAAATCCAGTACCCAAAACGGCCGAAACCTCCCTTACCCCAAAAACCCCACAAAAAACCACTTCTTTTCCTTCCCAGACCCACCCTTCGTCCTTCTCTCGTCTCTTTTCCTTTCCCTCTCAATCTCAATTCCCCTCCAAACGCACCCTGTATCTGCCCTTTGCACGACTCCCTCCACGACAACTTCGTCGAAAACATGGAA